GCTGTTGTTGCAGATCGCATCGGAATGGCTGCATGATTTTTTGCATGGGCTATGTTTTGGGGAGGAAGCCGGAGCACGAAACCTTGTGTTTTTCCGTGCAAAGTGGCTGCAGCCGGCGATGAAAGGTACCTCGTGCGTGCGGCGGGTGCGGCTGGGGTCGTTTGGTTCCTTCTATGTGTTTTGCAACAATGGTTGTTCCTGTGTGCGTAGTTCTATGCGTTTCTTGAATTTGTGCTTGCAGATCGCATTGGAATGGCTGCATGAATGTTGCATTCCGTGTGTTGTGGGGAGGAAGCCGGAGCACGAAACCTTGTGTTTTTCCGTGTAAAGTGGCTGCAGCCGGCGATGAAAGGTACCTCGTGTGTGCGGCGGTTGCGCTGGGTCGTTTGGTTCCTTCTATGTGTTTTGCAACAATGGTTGTTCCTGTGTGCGTAGTTCCATGCGTTTCTTGAAGCTGTGGTTGCGGATCGCATTGGTATGGCTGCATGAATGTTGCATGGGCTTTGTTTTGGGGAGGAAGCCGGAGCACGAAACCTTGTGTTTTTCCGTGTAAAGTGGCTGCAGCCGGCGATGAAAGGTACCTCGTGTGTGCGGCGGTTGCGGCTGGGGTCGTTTGGTTCCTTCTATGTGTTTTGCAACAATGGTTGTTCCTGTGTGCGTAGTTCTATGCGTTTCTTGAAGCTGTGGTTGCGGATCGCATTGGAATGGCTGCATGAATGTTGCATGCCGCGTGTTGTGGGGAGGAAGCCGGAGCACGAAACCTTGTGTTTTTCCGTGTAAAGTGGCTGCAGCCGGCGATGAAAGGTACCTCGTGTGTGCGGCGGGTGCGGCTGGGGTCGTTTGGTTCCTTCTATGTGTTTTGCAACAATGGTTGTTCCTGTGTGCGTAGTTCCATGCGTTTCTTGAATTTGTGCTTGCAGATCACATTGGAATGGCTGCATGAATGTTGCTTGGTGCTGCGGCTGCTTGCGTAATACTATTGTCTTTTGCAGCTGAAGATTGTAAATCGTATTGGAGTGGCTGCATCCAGGCTGTCATAATGATTTGTCAGCGGATTTTTCGCAATTTCGCGCTAGTAATTTTCCTTTTAAAAATCCTTTCAAAAAATGCTTCAAAATTGTCTTTTCTCTGCTTTGGCGTCGAGATCCGGTTTTGGAGCTCCAATTTCCGACACCGTTGCGCGTAGTTCTATTGTGTTTTGCAACTTAGTCTCTGCAGATCGCATTGTAATGGCTGCGTCAAGGTTGCTTGGTGCCGCGGCTGCATGCGTAATACTATTGTCTTTTGCAGTTGAAGATTGTAAATCGTATTGGAGTGGCTGCATCCAGGCTGCGATAGAGATTTGTCAGCAGATTTTCGCACTTTTGGCGCTATTACTTTTTCCATTTAAAAATCCTTTTGAAAAGTGCTTCAAAATCGTCTTTTTTCTGCTTTGGCGTCGAGATCCGGTTTTGGAGCTGCTATTGCCGACGCCGTTGCGCGTAGTTCTATTGTGTTTTGCAATTCAGTCTCTGCAGATCGCACTGTAATGGCTGCGTTGCGGTTGCTTGGTCACAGTAGTACTGGGAAGTGCTTTGTGCAAGCTTAGTACACAGTAGTACTGGGAAGTGCTTTGTGCAAGCGTTGCAGTACAAAGTAGTACTGGGAAGTAGTTTGTGCAAGCTTTGTAGTACAAAGTAGTACCGGGGAGTGCTTTCTGCAAGCTTTGTAGTACAAAGTAGTACTGGAACGTGTTTTGTGCAAGCTTTGTAGTACAAAGTAGTACTGGGAAGTGTTTTGTGCAAGCTTTGTAGTACAAAGTAGTACTGGAACGTGTTTTGTGCAAGCTTTGTAGTACAAAGTGGTACTGCGAAGTAGTTTGTGCAAGCTTTGTAGTACAAAGTAGTACTGGGAAGTAGTTTGTGCAAGCTCTGTAGTACACAGTAGTACTGGGAAGTAGTTTTTGCAAGCTTTGTAGTACAAAGTAGTACTGGGAAGTGCTTTGTGCAAGCTTTGTAGTACACAGTAGTACTGGGAAGTGCTTTGTGCAGGCTTTGTAGTACAAAGTAGTACTGGGAAGTGCTTTGTGCAAGCTTTGCAGTACAAAGTAGTACTGTGAAGTGTTTTGTGCAAGCTTTGTAGTACAAAGTAATACTGGGAAGTGTTTTGTGCAAGCTTTGCAGTACAAAGTAGTACTGCGAAGTAGTTTGTGCAAGCTTTGTAGTACAAAGTAGTACTGGGAAGTAGTTTGTGCAAGCTCTGTAGTACACAGTAGTACTGGGAAGTAGTTTCTGCAAGCTTTGTAGTACAAAGTAGTACTGGGAAGTGCTTTGTGCAAGCTTTGTAGTACACAGTAGTACTGGGAAGTGCTTTGTGCAGGCTTTGTAGTACAAAGTAGTACTGGGAAGTGCTTTGTGCAAGCTTTGCAGTACAAAGTAGTACTGTGAAGTGTTTTGTGCAAGCTTTGTAGTACAAAGTAGTACTGCGAAGTAGTTTGTGTAAGCTTTGTAGTACAAAGTAGTACTGGGAAGTGCTTTGTGCAAGCTTTGTAGTACAAAGTAGTACTGGGAAGTGCTTTGCGCAAGCTTTGTAGTACAAAGTAGTACTGGAATGTGTTTTGCGCAAGCTTTGTAGTACAAAGTAGTACTGGGAAGTGGTTTTTACAAGCTGTTGTAGTAGACATCAGTACTGGGAAGTACTTGGCATGAAAATAGCCAAGAAGAACTTAGCTGACATATGGGAAGACATGGAATGAGATGAGAAGAGCTCAGATGAGATGAGTTGAGATGAAGTGCAAGTGTGAAGTGTGGAGTGTGGGGTGTGAAGAGTGCAATGTGAAGTGTGAGGAAAGTGTTTGCATTGTACCGGGGTCGCGCGCAGGTCATGTTCTTGGACAGCAACACTGCAGCAGCTTCGCACAAAGCACACATGCACAGGCCTGGCTGGCGCACGGCGCATGCAAGTTCCTTAGTAGTAGTACTGGGAAGTGATTCATGAAAGCTTAGATGACATATGAGAAGAGATGGGATGAGAAGAGATGAGCTGGGATAAGGTGAGAAGAGCTCAGATGAGATGAAGTGTGGAGTGTGAAGGGTGCAGTGTGAAGTGTGGGGCGTGAAGAGTGCAGTGTGAAGTGTGGAGTGTGGAGTTTGAAGTGTGGAGTGTGAAGCGTGAAGTGCGAAGTGGAGCTTCAAATGTGACATGTGAAACAGGACACCACTTTCAAAGAATGCATGCACGCACGGGCTTGGCTGGCGCACGGCGCATGCAAGTTCTATAGATGAGAAAAATCTTATATATATCCCTAAGGCAACTTCCGCCCCGCTCGTGCGGGTACTACTGGTATTAAATTCATAATAATCGATTACATGGGAGCTATCCTCTGAAAGAATCTATTGTTGATCTCACACATGCTATAAATCTTATATAAGACATGAATGGTTTCCACAAAATTGAGCCTGGAACACAGCATCATGGAAGGTTAAATTTCGAGATTTTGTGAAATGGTTGTTTGGGCAAAAATGGTCGTTTGACCAAACCCATGGATATAAATGGTCGAACCAGGTTACAGGAACATGTGGTGTTTTGTACATTTTGACTTGGAAATGTGCTTCGCGCCACAACGGCGTGCACTTTTTCGACATCTCAACTTCCAAAAGTGGTCCGACGCTGAAGTGTTTTGTACATTTTGACTTCAAAATGTGCTTCGCGCCACAACGGCGTGCACTTTTTCGACATCTCAACTACCAAAAGTGGTCCGGACCTTGTGTGTTTTGTGCATTTTCACTTCGAAATGTGCTTCGCGCCACAACGGCGTGCAATTTTTCATCTCTCATCTGGCCCGCTGGCTCCGCACCCGCCGCTTTAGCGAGCCTACTTTTCGACCCTCCGGAGCCCCAAATCATTGGAAAAACACAGTGTTTCGCGACTTTCCTACCCTTTCGCGCATCTGGATCTTCTTTCTTCTTACTCTTTCTCTTCTACTCTTCTTTCTTCTAATCTTTCTCTTCTCTCTGCCTCTTCCCTACTCTGCTTTTCATCTGTCCATATTGTCGGAAGTTTGACTTCTAAACTTCCTTCGACTACAGTAGATGGACAAATTATTCAATCCCCTATCCATGAGTTATAGGCCACCCCCTACCTCCCCCGAATTTCAATGTTATGGTTTCGTAGCGCTGTTCCTGCTCTGGGGGTTTGATTGATTTCGTCCATTCGAAGGAACGAACCAAACAAGAAAATAACATTGATATTTGGGGTGAGGGGGGCTGCTCTATGTATAAGGCTTTGAATAATTCGTCCATCTACGGTAGTGCAACAACAACTACCACTACTGCTACTACTACTACTGCTACTACTACTACTCCTCCTACTCCCACTCCTACTCCTACGCCTACTCCGACGCCTACTCCGATGCCTACTCCAACTCCTAGCTCTACTCCTCTACTCCTCTACTCCTCTACTCCTCTACTCCTCTACTCTTTCCTCCCTTCTTTCCCAAATACTACACTGGTAGTGCCGGTAGCTCACAGGGTACTGATCGACCAGTACTCATTTGGTATGCGTTCCATTGGCTGTTCAAGCACGCGCTTGCTACTCAAGCTGCTTCTGATCTACGGCTCTGTCTTCGTCTTTTCTTCTTTCAGGCTTCCACCTAGCATGCACGTCAACCTCCCTTGGGGCAATCTCTCTCCCCTGTCTCCTTCCATGCAGCGGCGGTTTGGTGTCAAGCCAGAGGCTCATACATAGTACCTGGCACTACTTTGCTGGGGGCGGTACTAATTTGGTATACGGTCAACAGGTTGTTACAGCAAACCTTGTTACACAAGCCGCTTCCGTTTTACGGCTTTGTTTTCGTCTTCCTTTCTTCTTCTTCTTCTTCTCCTTCTTTTCTCTTCTGTTCTCTCGCGGGCTTCCACCTAGAATGCACATCAAACTCCCTTGGGGCCGCCTCTCTATGGCCGGCGGGCTTGCCGAAGGCAATTAAATATTTAGGCCATTGGCTACTACAAGTTCTGAAAACATCAATAGGATAATAACCGGGGTTTGCGAAATACCAAGCACATCAAAAACTCACAGGCCTCACCCTTGTCAGAAACAGAGCTGGAAGTCTTGGCGCGCTTTGTCGCGGGGGCGGGCGGGGCAGGGCGCTTGTCAACAGCCTTGTCGTTCTCAGTCTCATTGGCCTCACGCTTGTTGCGCGTTTTTTTGCTGGGCTTGCTGGCTGCCTTGGAAAGCTTCCTTGCTGTTTTCAAAATGCCTTTTTTGATCCACTTGTCATGCCAACGTTTCGAAGCTGCTCTGTGCACTACCTTCTGTTCCTCTGTCTTCTCCTTTGTCTTCCTGCGCTTCTTCTTTGTGGTTCTGGGGGCTGCCTTCACCTTACTCGAAGCTGCCTTTGCCTTCGATTTAGCCATGGTCTTGCTGGATGCTCGTGCAGGTCCCTTCTTCTCAGTCTTGCCTGGGGCGATTTCATCTCCATGTGCCTGGGGCAATTTCATCTCCATGAGCTTCTTAGAGGGTGGTGTCTGGGGAGGCGTGTCACCTTGTGTGTCATGTGGGAACCTTTGTTGTCTCCTTAATTTTTGGCGGGTCACCCACCTGATTGTCAGCCTTTGTGTTGGTGTCATGTGCTGTCTGGGGCGTGTCACCTTGTGTGTCATGTGTGGGAACCTTTGTTGTCTCCTTAATTTTTGGCGTGTCACCCACCTGATTGTCAGCCTTTGTGTTGGTGTCATGTGCTGTCTGGGGCGTGTCAGCTTGTGTGTCATGTGTGGGAACCTTGGTTGTCTCCTCAATTTTTGGCGTGCCACCAACCTGATTGTCATCCTTTGTGTTGGTGTCATGTGCTGTCTTTGGCCCTGTAGGCACACAAGGCTGATCACCCTCCTCCCCCATCACAAGCGTCTCTTGAGAGCCAGTCTCCGGACCAAACGGCTGTCTAGCACAAGGGGAGCGGCACTCACCTCCAGCACCAACCCCCAAGACCCCCAAAGGAGCACCCCCCTCACAGGGGTAAGGGTTCACCGGCTTGCTCTTGGCAGCCGTCATGGACGGAACGTAGAAATTCTGATGCCTTTGAAGAGGTGGCCTAGCAGGGGGCAAGAAGCTATGCAGCGTAAGAAGGAAATAATATGATAGTATTTTTTGCTTGTTATAAACTCTATTTTATTTTGTCTTGCTTACTGGGTATGACTGGTACGATGTGGTAAATAGTAAATGTTGTATGTAAATATATTAGATCTTTTTTGTACACTACATTTTATAAGTACTGGTGAGTATGTGCCCTTGGGAATTCATCATGTACAGGTAGGACCATACATTGACAGCTTCCCCCAAAAAAATGCAAACCAGCCATGCCAGAACCCATCAGAACCCCCAGCACAAGTGCCAGTCCTATCTGAATGGTCTGGAGGTGTTGCAGGTACGGGCTGCGCGCGTCCAAGGTTTGGGGTCCACAAAGTGCCTGGGACAGCACCTGGAACTTGGAAATCTAACTGAGCTGGAGAGATGCTGTGAAATCCGCAAGGCGGCGGAGTGGGCTCATTGAACTCAACCGGTTCCTGCGAATCATCCTCCACAATCCATAGCTTGTTTAAGTCTGACATTGGCCCCGTACCAGCTCACGGCTGGCAGTGAAGTAGGGCCGGCTATCGTGTCCCTGCGCCACCTCTTTTTTATAGCCAAAACCACAACACTCGACAACTCAAATTTCAGATTTTACCAGAGATCACGTATCGCTTGGAAGGACCGAAGACTTCAGGCCACGCGCGTCTTCAAGAGGACGCATTTTCTTGCTGCTGGATTGGGCCTGGTATGTCTTTAATTGGATTGCTCCCAAGTAAACCTAGTGGCCAGCTAGCCGCCCGCCCCAAAAACGATCAAGTCAGTGAGAGTTCTAAGACATTCCAATGATATCAAATGGATGATTTTTTTTTTCAGTCGTTTAAGGGTAGACAAATGCCACTCAGTAACCTGATTTTCCATGGTTGAGACAGGTTCTAGTTGGCCATGCCTGCTACAGCCCCGCAACCCACCTGCTCACACCGGCGGATTTGCCTGATGCATGGCTTCACCCTAAAAAGAACCAAATAAAACCAATAACTAAAGTTTTATGTAAATTGGCGACTGGAAAGGCATTGCCCGGCTGGCAGCACGAGTTTCTCTTTCACGAAAATCAGGGGCTTCGCGGCCCCAATGGACTTCTCTGCCACATACGACCGAAGTCGCCACACCTGAAGATAGGATTGGAAGGGATGCATGGCAATAGCCAATACATAAATCTTTTCTCGGGGTAATGGTTGTCTTATTATCGTTCATGTTGGGCAGGAGCCCGGACGATAATTTGGGGTTGAATATTTCACCCTGCAACACAAAAGAAAATTGGGAGTTCAACATTCAGGCCGAGACGAGCCGACATCAAATAATTGACTCAGCTCAGCCCATTCTTTTTTGGCCAGGCTGCAGCTTGTTTAGATTAATTTGTTCATCGTGCCACCTGTGCAAACTGTGGCCGATGTGACCGAGCTGCTATGCAGCATTGTCAGAAAGAAAGAACTGCCCCCCGAGATGGAGGTGGCGGGGATGGTGGTGGTGCTTGAAGCCACAGACTCAAAGCGACGGCCTTTGATGAATGGGATCCGCACGCCAAGCACCTACTTAAGTAGGAAAAATGACTCAGCTCAGCCCATTCTTTTTTGGCCAGGCTGCAGCTTGTTTAGATTAATTTGTTCATCGTGCCACCTGTGCAAACTGTGGCCGATGTGACCGAGCTGCTATGCAGCATTGTCAGAAAGAAAGAACTGCCCTTCATCCGCTTGCGAACTAACACTGGAACCGTTTCAACAGCATCTCAGAAATTCTATCCACCAGAAGCCAGGGATAAGGTTGTGCAACTAGAGTCCAAAAAGCACCAGTGGGAGAAACACCCTTGAGGTTGAGGTGATGTTTACCAGTCCGCGAACATAGGTTTCCAGTGCCATGACACAACTGCTCGAAACAAGAGAAGTCAATCCCCTTAAAAAGGATTTTAGTACGTTTCCGCCAACTTTCACCAAACTGACAAAAATCAAGCAAAACTGATGAAGAACCCTGCTCAAGCTGCTGCAACTGCGAAGTGATCCAACATCTACTGGTAGCTGGATTTTCAAGGGCCCATGCCACTCGATGTTGTTCACAGAGGTTGATCAGTCGAACAGTGAAATAAAACAAAGCATTACCTTCACGAAGTTTGCGCAAGTCATGAGGTCTAAGGTTGCTAAGGCCCATAGGCTGCTGGTCACTACGCAGTGGAGGTGGCCCAATGCCATCGTGTTGCCTTGCTCTACTAAAAGTGGTGCACGGCATCCCGATCCAAACAAAAAGCACCTTTCCTGAAGTAACTAAACTAAAAATCTTGCACTGCACATGCTTGTTCAACACATCATCCGTACAACCACGCATGATATCTATGGGAAACATGGGAAGACCCCGGGATTGAGCTGCTTGTGAAAGGCGACTGCTTCCAGCAAAAACCTCAAGCAAGCGCTTTCCGGGATAGGAGTCCCAGGAAAAACCACTCACGGCATCCTTGGTGCTACCTTGCCGCTGAGAACCTTTGCCATGTTCATCTGAGCCCATTTGCAAAAGTCCAGGTGATGCTTTGCCATGTTTTCCATCATTTTCTGGATCTTGCCGGTTTTGGCATACCTCCTCACTGAAGCGTCTGTCCTCCACCTTCCTCTTTCTCGCACGGCAGCAAAGTCGCGAATTTGACTGTTCAAATCATCGCTCGCTCCACCGTGGCGAAGTTGGTATGTGTGAAGGCCCTTTGCCCCCAAGAGGGAACCGGCTTCTTGGAACTTCTCTCGAAATTTCTGGGGCTTGAACTGAAAGAGGAGTGAGTTTGGCCCCCTCAACTTGGCCAACTTCACCAGGGCAGGACCCAGCCAATCCTTTGTCAGAGGATTGTCGAAATGCAGCGTGTTGTCGAAGATACCGGTCTTGTCCGGTTGTCCGAGCTCCTCGTCCCGAATCACCACACCAAACTTCTGGAATTGAATGCCGGTCCCCGGAACTGGAGCTATCACATGTTTCCCCAGCAGGTCCATCCCCTCCGAAGGCCGGAGGTAGCAATCGAAATCCAGTAGCAGTTTCAGGGCCATGTCTCTCTCCCCCCTTGCCAGCATGATCATGGCAATGCCCATCGCCAGTGGTCTGGGTAAGGGAAGTCTGCTTTTTGGAGGTGCCAATTTGCGCCACCCCTTCAAAGCCCGCTTGGCCCTCAAGAGTTTGCCCTTCAGCTCGATGTGATAAAACTCCACCGCTGCAATTGTCTTCTCCCCCACGGCCGCACTCTGAACATCCAGAAACAGCTCGTCGCAAAAGTCTGCTAGAACTGCATCTGGGGACAGAGGAAGCCATGCCAGGCCTTGCTCCTTGCAGAAGTCCTTGAAGGCTCTCAGATAAGTTGCATACTGTCTCCTCTGAGGACCATTCACACTCACTCTCTCCAGCATCGACATCTGAGCTTCGTCTGATGTCTCGTCCCCATCCTCCAAGGCAGTTGCCATCTTCAGCGTCCTTTGGGTCATAATCTTCCCCCCCAGAGAACGACTGGGAAGATGTCTTTCCTCCTTGCTCTTAATCTGGTTCATCTTCACCCCAGGAACTTTCACAGGTTTGGCGCCACGCAGGGTTCTGGTGATCTTGGGTTTCTGGATCACTCCCCTTGAAGATACTTTTCCGCTGCTCAGCAAATTTTTCCCACGAAGAACCCGGTGCGAGTTCACCCCGGGAGGGCCCATCAGCTAGATTAAGTTCGGATGGAACCCAGCGTACCCTAACCGAAGTGTTTGTAGCCAGAGCTAAAGCCGCATATTGTTGACATACACGTAACATGCCAAAATTGTGCGATCTACCCTTTGACAATGACATAGCCAGTGCAAGATTATCAACCAAGTATAAAATACGATGCCCTCGAAGCGCACTGTTTCGTGTAACGCGTCTCATACCCAAAATGAATGCCTTGCCCTCTTTCAGAGTGATGTGGTCAGAAGTTCTCCGCCACATTCCCATCTTAGCTGTACTCCAATTTTTGGGGTTTAGCATGTCAAATGGGACTTCAGGAAACTCAGGGTTCTCCTCATACTCAAAACTATCCTCCGCTAAGGGCTCCGGCCTTCGAGCAGTGCTGTGGTCCAGGAAGACATTGTAGTGGAGGCTCCGCTCTCGAGGCCTCCAATGCTCAGGATCAAGACGTTTGAAACGCCATCTCTCATTCCAAGAACCAACACTCTCCACATCTTCAATTGGAAAATTACCTTCAAGGAGACCATACCCAGCAGGAGAGGCATCCGAACAGAACACCCTTGTGGCCCAAGGACGTCTAAGATTACCAACCAGCAGAGGCAGGATTCCAATAAAATTATGGCACTCCCGAATTGCAGACGGCCATAGCTTCTGAGGGGGAAAACCCTTGCAACTGTAATCGTAGAGGGCTCTAAAAACACTCATACCGGGTCTGCACAAAACACAAACTGTCATTGCATGCCCCAACAGCCGTTGGATGAAGTCGGAACTCACTGGATGTTTCGTGCAATATTCAAATCCATAAATCAAGTTCCACAAACGCACAGGAGTAGGATTAATGGTGCCAACTTCCCCCTTTATAATGCCACCCAAAGTAGGAAAAATCTTGCAGGCTCCAATCTCTTCATGGACTCCAAAGCCAACGTTACGAAGCTGTGCACACACTTGCTTGCGACCATCTTCGCATTGATTCTCATCGGTGCTCAAGACATGCACATTGTCACAATAGGGCATGCCCAGGCACCTGTTCGAAGCGAAGTCGCCCACTGGCCTTGCGTCAATGACCAGCTGGGTGGGTTTCAAACCTAGTGTGGACAAAGTCTGTTGTTCATGTAGCTTTTGAACCAAATAAAAAGACCAGGAATATCCCATAGGCAGCACGTTAATACAAGGGGAAACAACTGCACCGTCATCCAAACCATCCATCCAGTCCGGTAAACATTCACCAGTAATAGCTCTCGCTTCTCCAACAGTGATGTCTTGGCTGAGGCAAAAATAGCGGGAAAGCTCTGGAGGAATCTTGCAAGCATAAAAACAGTCTTGGATATCAGCACCCCCGATAAAAAGGTCATCTTGAGGACGAAGGTAACCCTCAGAGAGAGCCGACAGTGATCCCAGCTCTGTCAAAGGAGGTGCCCTAAACAGCATGTTTGTTTGCCTACAGTCTAAAATCAACCGTTGTCTCTGCACCACACGCCCATCCACTTCCTTAGGCTTTTTGCTGACACAGAAGGCACCCACACGTCCGCGAGGCTGAAGCGAAAATGCGAGTATGCCGCACTGCTGCAAACGTGCCAAGAAATCACCATAGAAGCCCCGCTGGGAGAGTTGTGGATCACTGTACGGCTTAACCGGCTCCGTGTGTTGAGAAAAAGCGCCCCAGTTAACATCATGTTGTAACATGTGGCTTTCAAAATCACGCAACATTTCGCCAGCCTTACCCTCAAGTGTTGAAGCCAGATCCACCCCTTTACCAGCCAAGCTAGGAAGGGAAAGCAACTGTAAATTCATGGCAACCGTGTCACCTACGCCACCAGCAGTATCAAAGTATCCATTGGAGGCGACTCGAAGCGCCTTAAGGGCTTCCGAGTAGCATGCACCCTTAGGGGGACCACCAGCATCCTTAACACATTTGATGATATTCTGAATGGCATCCCTTTGGGGAGAAGGCAGCGCCCGAAGGTCATGACATGTTTGTGGTACCTCCCAAGAGTCATTGCCAAAAAAAAGTGAATTCAACGCGGTGATGGCCAAGTTCACCCGCTTGTTGACAGCAGCACGCTTGAAACAACGCTGCTTGACACTACGACAGATGCCCCTCCTGGCAATCCTAGCTTCCCCTTCCATCATCGGGAGGGGGAAAACATCCCGACATCTATCATCATGAAATTCAGCCGGAGGACAAAAAACCGGACTCTGTCGATTTTTGGGTGGTAGAAAATTGCAGCCAGCCCCACCCGTGCTAGCTGCAGAAGACATCTCACGTGCCATCCAGCCCAGGATTCTGTTTCCCGGGCTGACCACGTCCTCTTCCTCGTCCATGGCCACGTTCCTCACGTAGCTTACGCCTTTCCTTCATGATCTGTCCCTCCTGATGAAGCTTCTCTGAGACATACTTGGCCAAAGACGGAACCACGATTGCACCACCAGGACGGAATCCAGTCTGCAAAAAGTGGTCAGCTGCCTCATAAGATGGGGCGGCAGGAGAATGTGCATGTGCCTCTGCTATGAGTTGTCTACGGCGCACTAACAACTCGAAGCTAGCTAGATTGACAACGTTCAACCCGTCAAACTTGATAGCATAGTCCAAAATCCTTGCCAAGCAATCATCCTCGTAAATAGATCTATCCCCACCAGGAATGCCAGCTTGTGTGATCCACATGGTATGTTGGGAAATGCAGCTCTCTGCAACCCCAGTGATGGCTTTTAAGTATTCCGCACATGTTCTAGGAGTAAAAGGAAAATATGAGAACTCCTCGATCCTCATTTCTTGGAACGATTCCTTGAAACTTCTACTTCGATCTCCACTGACCCCATATTTGACAGACAGTGTACGTGCATCCTCTGAAGCCAATAAATCATCCCCGTCAGCCGCTTCTGCATCCCTACATAGTTGTATGCGTTCCTCACAAAAGGTGGACAAATCATCTCGCTTGACCTTCGAAACTAGGACCACTCGAGCTTTGCCATCGCCATCATTCATGTGGTGAAGAGCATAATCACCATCCATGACAGCATTAGCGGCTAAAACCACTTCATCCCCAATGCGAAAACCATTCACCATTTCAGCCAAAACCCAAACTGCGTCGCCGCCAGCAGGCGCTGCTGCAGGGACGGGTCCAGCAGGAGGCGCCGGAGCTGCCAAGCCCCTTCTACCCCGCTCAGCTAATGATTCTCGGTTTCCTTCATCCAGGATATTTCGGTATTCACGAGCTCCCAAAACGCCAAAACCATAGACATTCCAACCAACCAATTCGGGGGGTAATGCACCATTTGCCCCACCAATGTGAAAAGAAACTAGATCAGCATTGCTGTTGTCCAGGGTTTCAGTATAGACATCTCGATCGGGAGTACAGATCACAAAGTCCAAATGGTCAACATGGGCCAAAACAAGACGTTCATGATAGACAGCCGGAACTTCCCCGTAGTTGTGGTACACTAAGTCCCCGGGAGCAAATCGAGCCATAGAGTCAACCGTCTAGAATCTGCAATCCACGCCTTGCCTGATAGACACCTTTCCCAGCCTTGCCTTTGAAACTGAATGAGAATTCGGGCTCTTTCAATCCCCTCAATGCCGTCCAACTAAAATAGCCAAGGCCCAGGAGCACCAGGATCAGCAAGCCAGCAAATGCCAGATACAGCTCCCACCGCGCACCTTCTGCCACCGGTGTGCTGCAGGCACAGTGACAGCTGCACGGGCGGTCGACCACCGTGGAAGCTGGGGAACCCTGAAAAGAATACCCAACCAACAGTCCACCGATAGCGATTACCACATGGCTAGTCTCCATCTATCAACTTGCTTGAAGCCACAGACTCAAAGCGACGGCCTTTGATGAATGGGATCCGCACGCCAAGCACCTACTTAAGTAGGAAAAAGGACTGGTGTGAAATCCAACAAATCTAAGATGTTTGCTGGTAAGTTTGTATTTGCCCTGGCCTGGTTCAGCGCGGGGGAAGACAAGATCTGCTATGCTTCGAAGTAGGATCCCACATTCTTGACCTTCACATTGGCAAGCCTCACCGCAGCTGGCTTCCAAATCATTTTGGTGCCCTCCTTCAAGCCAATCTCAAACCTGGGAGGGCTGGGCAGTAGGCCAGCAGTTTTTTTATTGCCATTTCCCCCTTTTGAAAGCACTCGGTCAGCTTTTTTGAAATCCCATGGTGAAACTTTCCAGTGTTGATCCCGGCCTGTCAGCTTCGTCGGGGTTCTGACACACCTGTGCTGGACGGCTGCAGGAGTGCCCAGCGACTTCGTAATCAACCAGGCCGGTCCGTTCAACCTGCTGAACCGCCGATCGAACAGAGATTGGAGGGCCATCGTTGCCATCATTGTCCTGGCGCGAAGAAGCCAATTTCTAGCAGGTATGTTTGAATATGTTCTCAAGCATCTCTCATTTTGAGAAATACCCGTCCCCTTAATATTGAACGCCTTGTGATATAAAGATTCAAACATTATATTTGGGAATACTCAATAGGGGATTGTTAATATGAGGGGAATGTATTAGACGGTATTTATGATTGACATTGACGATTATTCAGAATGTAAAGGGATCTCCTGTTATTACATTGCCCTTGTTGGGTTTTACTACGAAGAAACATTATCGTAATCCTCGATCCCTGTCCTCGAGAACAACGATCTCCTGATCGGAAGATAGCTCGAATTCGAAGCCTTTCTCAGGGTGCTCCTGTCAGGGAGCGGGTGTTTTAGCAGAGTGGTTAGTCAAGTCAAGTACCTGCTTTAAAAAAGAACATTCTCCACATATGTTTGAATCCGCGTGAAGCAGCCATGTGCCCGCCCCGAACATGAATGCGGGCTCACCGGCTGAAATCTCTCCATCGTGGGAAGCGAGCACAAACAGCTTGGGCCCCTCATAGATCGCACCTTGAAGCTCTGAGTTGAAAGCGAAAGAGTGCAAAGCAGATCCATATTTGGTGTCAAGATCAGCCTTTGTGGTGGGTTCACCAGGAAAGGCCATGCTCCACTGGAAAACTTCTGCAGCAGCTTCACCAGTGCCATTTGGTGCATCGCTCACCTCAGCAGTCTGAGTTGCACCAGCATGCGGCTCAGCCCACTTGGCATCGAAAGATTGGAGAAGCTTTCGCCACTCAGGAGCACGGATCGGGTCACCAATCCATTGCACCCGGATCGTCGAAGGGATTGTAAGCTTCCCACCGTCCAAGACGCACACCATGAAGTCTGGCTCCTCCACGACCATCGGAGTCTCATCCGTTGGGTCTGCCTTGAACTTTGGCAACATCTTGCCAATGAGACCGGACCCGGCCTTCCAGTCCTGTCAAGGGCGCGAATTTGACACCAGATCTGGCCCTCCTTTGCCTTATTTTGCTCTAAACTTAAACCAGTAATCCCAACCGTAGGACCATTGAGGGGTGAACATCTTCTTGCCAATCCCTACACCTCCAAGAGCATGTTCCCAATGGTCATCGAGGTGTACCCATGATACACATGGTTGTCGGTGATGCTCAGGATGGGGAGCCCCATGCCAAGACACGCCTTCTCAACAGCACCACAGTAGCCAGTTGTGTGGATCACCGCGGTCTTCTTGTCACCTGAAGCGGGTTCCATTGTGCATGGTTTGTGTTCTGGTTTTTCCCATCCCACGTGAATAAACAGGTTATATTCAAACATATGCATCATATGCATTAAAACGCAATATAGTTACACCAAAAAAAGGACGATAGAGATCGAACCAAGAAAGAAAATATGGGAACTATTGGGGAATACATGACTGTACATATTTATACGATCAGTACTTGTCTACCTTTTTGGTGGTCGCGAAATTAACTACCTACGTATGAAAACCGAAGTTTCAATATGGTCCTGGTGTTATTTTGCTTTAGTAACTGGAACATGGTTGGAACGATATTTTGATCTGCCCCAACGTGCTTATGCCAAGTAAAAGGCAAGAAATCGCCCCAACCAAATGTTTAGAGCACCAATGATACCAAGTTACCAACTGAAGCATGAGAGATCAACTTGGTCCTCACATCAACCCCAGCAATCCATTGCGAAGTTTCCTGGGCATCGGAAAGGTTTCGCCGTGCATCATGTGATTGGAACCGGGTTTTGGAAGAAGGCACTGCAAAATCTGCTTCCGGTAGCCCCTGCGGCATGCTATCCAACGAAAACCCCTGGAACTTCCACAGGTTGGACTGGATGAAGGTGTTGAGGTGCACGGCATCCTGAGGATGGTCATTTCGGTTCCTCCTGTGTCCTGTTCCTTTCGATGGAAGTGTCGTGTCTGCAACACAAAGCCACCCATGAAAGTAGATTGGCCTCTCCGAGTTCCCATGAAGGTTCCCCGGATCCACCCCAAAGCGGATGTCGCGGAGAGCAATGCCCAAGTTGCCACATTTGTCCTCAATGGTTCGATGATCTTGGCGAAGGGATCCAGGATGAGGTGGAAACCAGGAGAGTCGCAATGATAACACCGGCTGAGCCTCAGCGTCAGCGTCAAGGCAGAACTTTGATTTTGAAAACCCAGGTCCAGCGGGGAAAGCAGAAAAGCTAAAACTCGAGGTTTTGCAGGAAAAGCTAGCAAAGTGCAAAATGCATGCCCCATGCCCAGGAGATCTCACATTTTACGCCAAGTCCACCTGTTTCCCCCATATAAAACCAGATAAAACCAGGGTACACCCCATACAATCAGCTCTACCAAATGAAGATTAGACACACCCTGCGTGGGTTTCGCTGCAAGACCTTCTGCAGAAGCGTGCGCTGCTTGTTGATCACTCCAGTAGTTGCCACCCCATGCTTGGTGAAATCCACAATGGTCCGAACATGCAACTGCTCCGGCTCTACCTCAGGGGGCATGGTTATATATTATACCTTGGGCCCCATAAGATTGCCCCCCATAAGATTTGAACATGGGAATATCTCGATATAGGGGTGCCCGAAACTGTAAATTATAGCTACTTAAAATGACAAATTTGGGGGAACCCCTACTGTGAGACATTCCCATATATGATATGTATGTTATATCAAGTAATTTTACAAAGCTACCCTTGGACTGCCCTAAAAGACTTATACATATTTCAGTCAAATAATTTTACAAAAGTTACCCTTCAACCCTTTTCCAAAGTTTCGGGGTTAAAACAAATCCTTATTTTTTGGCAAATCAAGCTCCTTGCACTCCGTGGCGGCTTGTGACAGCCATGCTGAGAGGTTGGGGACATTGGTCAAATCACCGAGCAAGTTCAAATGGCACCATTTGTTCATGTAGAGCTCCACAAAATAGATAGAGTTCTGGCCACCAGAATCACAAAATCATAACCGTGCTAAGCAGTGCTACGTCCAATTTCGAACAATCTGAATTTGGTGAACCGATCAAAAAAATCATAAACCAACGCCCAAGTCTCCCCTGCCCAATCGCGTTCTGCGCCTTGACATGGGTGACAGCAATGATGTGCTCTCGGATCGCCTTGTTGTTCTGCAGGTTGAGGTGCTTCACCCAAGCCACTTCATCCAGCTTCAAAGGCGAGGAGGATCAGGAATGGGGTTGGATTTCACCCACCATGTTTAAATGTTACATCGGTGGTGGATTTTAGGTTCGACGCTATAGCCCTTCAAGGGGGAATAAAACCAAACAGGAATATATAGATAAGGGACCCAATCTTCGATTTGACTTCACAAAAATGGGCTGCTGCTGTTGTTTCTTCCAACATGGAGACATCTTCCACCGATTCAGCGGCGTCCACAACAGGGTCGACCAACTCCTTCCAAAGGCTGAGGTGTTTGACATCCCAATTCGGCAGCGCACTTTCCACACACAGTTGCACCTCCGCAAAGTAGTCCCTGCACAGGTTCAGAGCAGGCGGGGTAACCTTGAGGCCCAATGCAATATAGAACCTTTACCGGTGTTTAAGGGGCCCAGTTTCCACCATCAACCGGGTAGGGTCCACCCAGTCAAGTTGGCAAGGGTATCGACCAGGTATTATTGCAAAACACATCGTGAGCCCCCACACAATGTTTTCATTTGAAGGGCAAAAAGTGCGAAGTTACCCCATGCTAGACCTGGTGGGTAGTAGCATTTTTCCTGCCGGTTTGCCACAAAGAAGGCCACCCACAAAGGGAAAGCGACCCCAAAAAAACCGAAGACGAGGGGGGTCGGTTCTTTTTCCACCTGCCAGGTGAAGGTCTTTAGATTTTATCAGAGTCACTTCCTCCTCCTTCCTTCCTCCTCCTCTCCTCCTCATCCTCTTTTCTCCTCTCCTCCTCTTCTCCTCCTCTCCGAAATGAAGCCCTTTCAACCCGAGGACCCCTTTCAAAGGAAATCTTGCCAGGATAGAATGCCGCAAAGAATGCTAAAGTAAATGCCAGAACGCATGCTAGAAAGAATGCCAAAATTGAATGCCAGAATAGATGCCAGAAAGAATGTCAGAACAGATGCCAGATAGAATATCAGAAAAAATACCAGAATGAATGCCAGAGAAAATGTCAGAATAGAT